TTTGATCAGATGTGTTTTTGCAGCTCCTCCCCATGATGAAATACAATAACTTAAGATTGATTGGCATAAGGCGAGATAAACGAACGAAAGAATGTGACCGCATCATATTTGATCAAACTGTAAAGTTAATTACCGTTTCTGAGAGCGACAGTTAACACAGCTGCTATCGGATTACGGTTAATGAAACATAAAACGCCCACTTTCCTTAACACAATAATAATACTGATGCTCTGAAATTAATCTTCGGAAATTCCAAAAACAGTATATGTTATTGTAAATATCTAAATCTGATGTGAATAAAATTTACGATTACATGTATATTATAAACATTTAAGCTCTCTAATTGGATAATATTCAAAATAATAAACCTCCACTTAATCATTACTGCATTCGCATAACACTAGATAATTGGAGTTTACTCCTTAAGAATCGATTTGCATATATAAGGGGCCCGGTATGAGAAAAATGTGAGGAGTAAAATCTACTGAACAAATGACCTCGTTACGTTTTTGTGCGCAACCTCATCTGCGCACCTTTCACTTTTAGCCATGGCAACGGATAAAAAACATTAAGTTGTCACAAATGTCAATAAAATAAATAAACTAAAAATAGATAAAATCGGAGCAAAATTAATGAAAACAAATAAATAACAGAATACAGAGAAATGCCGGTAAGTGTCCAGCACTCTGGAATAGTGATTTTCAGTACAGATGGAATTATAATACATATTTACAAAATGATGACTAGTGTGTGATATTTTTGAAATTGTGTGTTTCCAGAAATACATAATAAAATATATGATGAATATTCATGATGTTAGATGATAAAATGTGTGACATGGAACCTATGATAGTCGAAACCATGGGACGATTCCTGAGGTATCTCTACTTGTAACCGACTTTAGAGTGTAAACTCCGGTCGTGCGTCGGAGCTGACACACACAATTTTTTGTTTTTGTAAGTTTTCCTTATATTTTTCATGCAACGAGCAAAGTTTTCAGTAAGTCGAATACCTATTGTATCGCAAGTGAGTGTGAGACACGGTGGCCGTTTACCTTGACGGATCATAATGCTCACGCAATTATTATTTATTTTGTAAATGATAGAGATTTTGAGATACGATATATCAACTCATTATGCTCAGTAAGGAATTAAATATATATAAGAGAAGTTAATTATTATAGCTATTGTGGCGGCGACATCTATATGCCCCACATATATACAACGGATGGAGGAAATCATTACTGACCATCGCCATCTCTTGAGATGGCGTTACCTGCACTGCGATCTTAATAGTATGGAAGCCTACATCGCGCAAATGAAATTCGGAGACTAACTCTTCATATATACGATGCCCGACTAACATCAGTTGGGCCGCGGCCCCCGAGCTAACATCACCCGGCTCGGAGGAAGATCTTCCCCTTTGGCCTTCCTACACTATTAATAGTTTATCTATCATCCAAACGGAACAATGATAAAGAAGCAGACCGACGCGTGAGCCGTTGAATCAAACTGTTACACGTTTTTTTTATTTATTTTTAAGCATTTAACTGCTAGATGTTTAAATCTAAAGAAAAGTTTACTAGAAAAAAAATCCACGCGGACCAGTCAGCGGACGGGACTCGAACCCGCACCCTTCGCAATCCGGGCGAATGCACTGACCATTATGCTACCACGGCCCTCCGCGTCGAAATTTTCCTAGCCTTAAGCTGAAAGGCAGCGCCATCTCTTTCGCATTGTACGTAGCCCACAATGTCAAATGAATACTTTTTCAAGTATTAAACATTTGAAAGAAGAAATAGCAATAGGCTAGTTTACTCATGTCAAATTGTATTAAATAAATGTTTATTTCTTAAAGTATTTAGTCTAAGGAACCTTAATATATCGATTTCACTTCATAAAAGCAGAAGATTGCTGTAGAAATTTAATTTTAAAAAATATTTTTTAGTCTATATTTTTTAAACACTAAAAACGCTGTTCGCCACATCCGCCATGATTTTGACGTCTCTTCTGGTAAACAACTAAATGTCATTCGCGTGTTACTGTAGGTGGATTCTTTCGTCTGACTAAATTTATCATAAAACACTTTTAACTTTAGGAAAGAAAAAAACAGTAAACTTAGTTTTTTTTTGACAAAACTAATTATGGATGCCGGCTTTGTGAAAGCAGAAAGCACAAATCTGCCAAGAATTGACGCATTGATGGTTGGTGAATTTGTTGCACTAAACCCCGATTTCTGCTCTGCGGAGCAGAGAAACGACAAGGCATCTATGTAAGTACAGTGCATTTAGTATTACAATGTAGTAATAAACATAAAACTGATACAACATATGAATAAGTGTAATAAAGTTGCGTAGGTTAATTTCTTTCGGCACTTTAATCGACAACTTTCCTGGAGTCTTCAAGGATGTGTTTTTATATTCTCGTACAATACAGTAATGATAATTACTTTATTTTTCGTGGTATTTATTAGAAATCATGTTTTTGTTTATTATAAACTCAGTTAAAAGTAATTTTCTACGTGTTTACGAGTTTTTGTTTACGACAGTTCACGTCATAGCATAGATAATCTATAGACTTAAATGGCCGACAGCGTTTTTGTATGTCCATGAAAAGTCTATTTTAAAATTAAAGATTTGTAGCTTTCTAGGTTTAAAAAAAATACAATACATTTTTTTTCGGTCTAATAGAACATTAATTAACCATTTAAAACCTTTTTCCAAAAAGGGTCAACTAGCCTATTATAGTTATGTTTTTATTTATTTTTAAGCATTTAACTGCTAGATGTTTATATCTAAAGAAAAGTTTACTAGAAAAAAAAAACCACTACACGTTTGTTAGGGAAAGCTACCCCTGTTAAATTTTGTATTTAATACGCAAATAAGTGGAATGGTATAATTAAACTTCATAAGTACTTAGAGTTACTCTAACAGTCAAACGAATCAGGATTCACAGTAACAAAGTGCAGGTGAGAATTATGCATAATTACCGGTATTCTTTTATAATTTTTACTTGTCTGTTATTACCTGCTTAAGTAATTTAAACACCTTTTTAACGGTACACCAATTGAAAACTTACTTGCATATTATATTTTAATTTTAATACACACTTTACATGATATGCTTTGAAGAATTGTTTCACCAAACTGCGATGTGTACAAGAAAATATTGTTAAATAAGAATATGCGTAATAATAAGAAATTAATTTTACGATCAAAGCTTATGACTAGGGTTGCCAACTCCCCGGAATTTCGGGATTCTCCCGTGAAAAGGCAATAAGTTTTTAAAATCTCCCGGCTCCAAGAATATAGCTAAAATCTCCCGGAAATGTTCATCGCTTATTTCACTCTAAGAATCCCTATCGCAAACGCCTACGCTGTACGTATTTTTAGCCTAGTAAAACGTCGTATTCGACTGAATAAATGGCAAGGCATGTGAAATCTGAAATACAAATTTTTAATACGGCGTTTTGATAGCAAATAATTATATTGTCACAATCTTGCACTCGCCTTGTCTACACAAAAAAATCAAGGGTGTAGGGGTGACCCCCTACATAATGATATTAGGATGAAGGAAGGAAGTCAACTGTTACTGTTGAATGCACGACGAGCATTAATTTATTATGCAAAGTTAAGTTTTGTATACCTAGAACAATGATGTATTATGATGCATTTCCTAGATATGTACTTAATTATGGCAATCATGTTATAGCGCGTGTATTCTTACTAATTCTAGTGTTTAGATTTACTAAATCTAGGGGGGAGGGGTGAATCGTAACTGGCAACTCTACTCCCGTATTTCCCGATCCACACAGTTGGCAGCCAGCCCTACTTATGGCCCGTCTGATGGTAAGCGGCCGCTAAACTTAGCACTAGACTAGCTATAGATATATATATGTATATATAGAAAAGAACACTATATCCACGACAATGACCAACGCCACATTGGTTTGCTGTTAAAAAACCCTCGCGATGCAGGTAATTGCGTGGTGCATTCGGCAAGCGGCGAGCAGCCCGAGGGCCACTAGTCGGTGCGGGTAAACTTTGACGTGCACTCACGCAAGCGTGGCATACGTCAAACCACACCGCCTCCGACCAGCAGCCCGGTCCGCATCAGCTTTAGCCGATCCTGGGCTTCTCCGTTCACAGCGTCACCTGACTAGACCTTCCAGGCGTAACTACGGGATCCAGATATGAGTCGCCGCTTGTTACGCCAGGGGGCCATTCGCCTAACGGAAATGCTTTGGAAAACGCTAACGCTTACGATTTCATTTTGTTAATTTCTAGCCGCCTGAGGTTTTCAAATGCCTCGTGTCCTTTTTTTTCTTTTGCATTGGTAATAACAATATTAAAAAAATGAGCGTGAGGTATTTGAAAACCTTCGGCGGTCAGAAATAACAAAATAAAATCGAAAGCGTTAGCGTTTTCCAATGCATTTTCATTGGGCGAATGGCCCCCTGGGTTGCAAAATTGGCTACCCTTAACCGGCTTCGTGATGCTTTGGACCTTTACTCATCGCCAAAAATACAACCCTACCAAAAGGTAGTGTTAATACTCTATGGTTTACTGTAAGGTTGTTCACTTCCCTAGGCGGGACAATAGGGATGATGACTATTTTTTTTCTTCGTTTATCAGGTAGATTATCAAAAAGTATTGGACACGTATTTTTTCTTTTTTCACATAATATAAACATTGCAGAGATATATTGATTTGAAAAGTTGCATGACGTCACGTTTGAGTACACTTATAAGTGAAAATTCACTCAAAAGTGACGTCACGAGCCCCTACTCCCAAACTTTGACGCGCTATAACTTTGTCATTTTTTGGTTGATTGCCCGAAGAAAAAATACGTGTCCATTATTTTTTGATCATCTAACTGACGGACTAAATAGAATTTCGTTTACTGTACCCCGTCATCACCCCTATTCAATAAATCGGAATCTCCTAAGTCCTACCTCTCTGACAACTCTGTCTGTCTGTAAAAAATAAATAGAATTAATTACCTTGAACGTACAGCATCAGTAGAAGCCCTAGAGCGGCTCTTGCACGTTTCATCTTTCCGGTAGCTGGTAATGTAGTACAACACAGTTCACAATTCTCCGATCACTTGCCTGGTTTTGTTTTATAGTATCACATCTAATTCTATCACCAGGTTCATTAAAGCATTGCAGTAGAACTTTCCTATATACAGTTTCAGTAGAAATCTTCAAAACTTATTTGTAGGACACGATAAGTATTTCAGCTTTATGGTTGTTCAATTTTTTTTACTGGTTTTAAGAAATGGCAAGCTATTCTGTTCTGTAGCTGACTTAAAGATTGTTGGAGAGTAAGAGAAGTGTTTCAGTAAAATTTAAATGAATGAAATGTCGAGCCGAATGGTGAGTGCGTGTCCAGAGCCGGCGCGGGCGGCGCGGTAAAGTGCGTGGGCGCACTATCTGCGCGGATTTCCGGCGCGCAAGGACAATCCATCATTTGCATTGTGTTTCTGTTTCGGTATTTGTAAATATTGTTTATAACACATAAAGTGTCTCTTATTGCACCAATTTCAATATCATAATCTATCACATTACACACGCGTGCGGTAATGTAAAGTAAAACGCACGGCTTATTATGTTCCGTCTATAAATGAACGATACTTTTTTAAATCTTAGCAAAGAGGTTTTATGTCAGAAAGGTAGCCAAAATTTTCTTAATAAAATTAACAAAAATTAAACTATATAATTAATTTAAAAAAATTTAAATACTATAAAATTAACGAAAGTATCTATCCGTGAAAATTCCACGGATAGATACTTTCGTATCAAAATTTCATCTTATGGAAAACAAACAAAGGCGAAAATACATTTTCAGAAAGTACGTAGGTAGTATTATTTCCTCGAAAATGTGTTATAAAACGTCGTATGACATCCGTGCGATGTGATAATTACAGCCTCTGCCTTCTTATAGCCCTCACCTACGGCTCGGGCTAACAATATCGCCTCGGCTGTAATTCTCAACTTACCGCACTTATATCATAATGTACTAAAGCGGCGCTCCTCAGTTTTTTTGCTCGCTGACGCCCAAAGCGGCTAAACTGTACTTCCAGGGCCCAAGTGGTGGTACTTCACTTGGGCCCTGGAACTACAAGGTTAGGTTAGGTTAGGTTAGTGTTGTGACCATAACGCGCGAGCCGAGCGAGCGAAGCGAGCGTGCCGCGGGAGCGGCTGGCGAAGTGCCGGAAATATTTTTTTTTAAAAGATTTTTTTTCTACAAAAAAGTTTAAGTATCACCTCTTGGGCCCGGGAAGTACAGTTTTACCCTTTTTAAAATCATTAATTAATAATTTCTATTTCAATGAAAATAGGTAATTACGTATGGATAGATTTTAGTGATGTTATAGGTATTATACTATATAGCATTCATTAAAATGAAAAATACTCGTTGTTACGTAAGGTATTATTTTATTAAATCATTATTAATATTATTCATACAAAGAAATATCTTTAATATAAAGTAAAATCAAAACAACGAAAGATGACAGAAATCAACAGAGAACGTTCACAACAAAAACAACTTAATTTTAATATTTATTGATTTGTCAATCAATCAACAAGTTTTTTTTTCATTAAAAACGCCTAGTTACTCTTAACAGTTTAAAAATAATTATTTCTTAATATAGTACCTACTAAGTCGTTGACTTATACCATACATAAATACAAACTACTGCGCTTGTATCGAATGCAAATAATATTTATCTAATTTTATTTCATATTATTGCAAACTGATATTGCATTGACAAAACCAACTAAATTGTCAAGTACCCTCTGAAGTTAAGTGTACCTGTAACAACGTTATTTGATGTTAAAATATAAGAGTCCGTACGTAGCTATCATCATCATCATTATCAGCCTATTAATGTCCCCACTGCTGGGGCACAGGCCTTCCCTATGGATGGAATAGGGAGATTGGGCCATGACCACCACGCGGGCCCAGTGCGGATCGCGGGTGCTAACGACTGCAGATGCAGCCGTGACCAACGGCTTAACGCGCCTTCCGAAGCACGGAGGAGCTCGAGATAGAAGATTTTTGGTCACCCATCCAATGACCGACCAATGCGAAAGTTGCTTAACTTCAACGATCGCAGCCGAACGCGCTTACCACTTGCGCCATCGAGCTCCTCCGTACGATACTCCTCCGAACGTACATAGCTATCTATTTTAATAATGGGAAAAACACAATTAAAATAATCATAAATGCAAAAACTATCTATTGAACTCTTGACTGGCAATGTATTTTATCAACATAAATGAAACTAATACAAGGAGTGCTCATTGAAACAGTGCTAAGGGTGAAATAAAATCGGAAATAAATGAAGATGATTAATATATTATATGTAGGGAAAACCTTGAGGAGCTCGATGGTTAGCGCATTCGGCTGCGATCGTTGAAGTTAAGCAACTTTCGCAGTGGTCGGTCTTTGGATGGGTGACCAAAAATTTACTATCTAGAACTCCTCCGTGCTTCGGAAAGCACATTAAGCCGTTGGTCCCGGCTGCATCTGCAGTCTTTAGCAGCCACCAATCTGCACTGCGCCCGCGTGGTGGGTCATGGCTCAATCTCCCTATTCCATCTGTAGGGAAGGAATGTGCCCCAGCAGTGGGGACATTAATAGGCTGATGATGATGAGGGAAAACCCGGAGACTCACCTAGGTCCCACATTTCGTTTTTCTTATGCGCTAAGTTTAAATATAATTTTGAAAGATAATTCAATTCTCCTACCTGGGCTGGCGCCCGTTTGTCACCTAATTTTACGGGTGACACCTTACAAATAAAAGTTCCACTTCTCATTGTCAAACTCCTTACGTTAGTACCAATCAGCTTTTTTTACAGCTTTTTCTAAATCGAAATTATTATGCATTTGAACTAGAGGTTTTTCCTTACAAAAAATAGAGATTACCAAACACTTGCCATACTGTCTTGCTCATTATAATAGAAGGTTTTAAGAATTGAAACTTACAAGTAGTACAAAGATATAATCTAAATTATCTCGGAAAAGTATATTTTAACAAAAACAGTAGAAATAAACATGGATAGAGTCTGTGCGGAAAGAGAATGGGCGTTGCGAAAAACGGAACTAACATTAAGATTTTTATTTGGCAAGCAAACCCAGCAATCTGTAAAACGTCAAAGTTTTATATTCATGCGGATTTGTTTGTTGTTGTGATTTCTTGCGTTTTTTTGTATTTAATCATGTCTAAAAGGGGTAAAACCTTACAAATGTGGTAGAAAAGCACTACAGGGCCCTCCAATCTAAATCCCATTCTCTTTCCGCACAGACTCTACAATGAATATGAGACTTTATTTAACAATAAGTTTTCTCGCCAACTAAAGTTTTCTTACGTTGAGGTAGTGATCGTATTATTTACCGTTATATCACACAGAGGTAGTTACATCTACAAATAATAAAAAGTGAACTTGAAACCAAGGCTTGAAACCGGTTTCGAAAATACCGGTAAATAAAGGTTAATACCGGTTTTTAGTAAAGGTTTCGTTCGGAGCGCGTCCGAAATGAAAGCGGTACCTAAAACCTTTAACAAACCGGTTTAATCCAGAGCGACAGGTGCACGCGTCGGTATCGCTTAAAATTTGTTTTGTTTGAACTAATCAAGTCACAACTTGTTAATGCTCAGAGATTGATGCATTTATTGATACGAATGCTAGCGTCTAGTGAGTCCAGTTATTCATTTATTTATCGATGTTGTCAGAAAGAGCGAAATGAAACCCTTTAAAAACCGCTAAATTGATTCAAAACCTATTTGATTTCGCTCTTTAGGAAAACCGGTTTTTTAAGGTTAAGGTAGAGCCAAACCTAAATAAAACGCTCCTAATGTACTTGAAACTGATTTAGGTTTGAAAATTAACCGGTAACAAGCCCTGCTTGAAACACGAGCTTAGTAAAAAATGTACAGTATGCGACAGTACTTCTGAATAAAATTCTAAATTATAAAAGCTGATGCAATACCCTTAGCACGAAAAATTATCGAATTCGTATCGTTTGCTAGTGTGATATTCATTGTCAAATGTGTACTGATTTTTAGTTCTCGTTACGTCCGTTATGGCACTGCTGTTCAAGTTTCCATAAAAAAATTGACTTTGACATTTCGCACTCGCAAACTATTCGAATTCGATATTGGTTCGTGCTAGGGGTACTGATCGAAGTTGTGAATATCGAGCTAAATCTTTATGTTTTACTTCACATACATACATAGACATCAGCTTTTCATTTTGATATTGTTTTCGTTGTTTTTGCAACTGAATTTTATTGGTAACTTGTTCACCGTCGATAACTTATTTTGTTAAAGCACTAACATCAGGGACTGATCATCTAACTTTGAGTCTTCCCCCGACCCCCTTCAAAGCTCAAGCATTTGTGTCAATATGAAATTTGGCTTTTCCTTAGAGCAAGATTGAAAACTTAATTTTTAGCTGAGAGGGAAAACACGGTGAAACAAAATCATATATACTTGGTAGTATTGACACTGAAACATAATAATATTGTTGTTGTTTTTTAATTCGTTGAGTTTTTGTTTCACTGTGTTAGCCCCTCAGCTAAAAATTAAGTCAACAAGAGGTAATAGCAAAAAAATTTTTGGGGGTTTCAAAAGAGAAGCTTTGACTTTGAAATGAAAGAATCACCGAAGTAGTTAAACAAAATAAAAGTAACTTTTGATTGACCAATATATGAATCATTTTAACTTAAAAAATAATATTATCATAGAAAATCTGTATGTATTGTTTATAACATTCATAAAATGACGCCCTCTTGCTCAATCTGAAAGCTAGCGAATTTAAGAACATAGAAAAAGTCTAAATTAAAAAAAAAATTGTTGATGATGAAAAAATTATTTGTATTGAAAAATAAAAAATATTTTAGAAGTAATTTACATAAACAAATTCTATCAACTACTTATACTTAAAACTAGCTTAACCTTAAGTAGGAACAAGAGCGTTCTACGATACCAAAAACTATTCTGATAAAGATAGCCTAAAATGGGGTGATGTTTTTGTTCATTAAAATAGAATTTTCATCGAACTATGCGATTCAAATAAGAATAGGAAAGCCAATGACCTCCATCTGTCAAATGTCGCTTGAAAAGTACGGTTTGCAAAAAAATATAGGAATCTTTTTTTAGCACTGCACTTTTTTAGTCTGCTAATTCTAGAATAAAAACCAAACATTTGTAAACAAACAATAACAAATGTTGATAATTAATATTGGTTGATATTTTTCTTCATTTATTGAGCTTTGGCTATGAATGTTTGATAACCTAAATCGTCAACTAAATGTCACTTTAAGTTGCGTTCAGAAACTCGATTTAAAACTTTCGTTTACATAAAGGATGCATGTTCGTATGTGACCTTTAATAGTATATAGTAATAGTGCGCGATTATTCA